AACATTCCTTACCAACTGAAAATTTAAATCAATTAAATGACTGAGAAGAGATTCGTTTGTGTATAATACTCAAAGTAGTTCAGATGCTTCAGTTTTGTAAAAAGCATTTTCTTCAAACATTGTATAGTTTGCCCGTTCCAACATAGACATATTTTTTTTCCCGTTCCAACCTAGAAAAAACTACTTTCTTTTTTTAGCTTAATAAGAAAAATAGTAGTATTCTTGTATTAAATAATAAAGATTATATAAATATATCTGTATTAAAATTGGTCAAATCTCGTCTAATTGACATAATAGTTTTTTAAAGTCAATGTTGTATTATCCTTTGGAGAACTATATTCATAGTAGTATAATCAGCAATATATTCTTCAGGAGTTAAATTTTCTTTCTCTTCAAGATTATTGTAAAACAGATATTTTGCACCAGACTCAAAACAAAGGGCTTTCTTTTCCAATATTTAGTAAAATATGCCATCCTCAACAAGTGCCAGACTTTATGATATTATACACAATAGGGCAGGATTGAAGAGTCTTTTTTTTTTTCAAACGGAATGACCTTTATAAACTAAATTGGAAATTAAAAAAAAAACGTTTACAAGGAGGAAATAATACCTAACATGCTACCTATGAAGACCTATTTAGTTTCAGGTAAAGATGTTGCAATAATAATTTTCAGGTAAAGATGTTGCAATAATAACTTTCAGGTAAAGATGTTGCAATAATAACTTTGAGGTAAAGATATTGCAATAATAACTTTCAGGTAAAGATGTTGCAATAATAACTTTCAGGTAAAGATGTTGCAATAATGACTTTCAGGTAAAGATGTTGCAATAATAACTTTCAGGTAAAGATGTTGTAATAATAACTTTCAGGTAAAGATATTGCAATAATAACTTTCAGGTAAAGATGTTGCAATAATAACTTTCAGGTAAAGATGTTGCAATAATAACTTTCAGGTAAAGATGTTGCAATAATAACTTTCAGGTAAAGATGTTGCAATAATAACTTTCAGGTAAAGAAGTTGCAATAATAACTTTCAGGTAAAGATGGAATAATAGCTTTTTTGTTATAGCTTTTTGTTATTTAGAATTCTACTAACAATTTCTTTTCTCAAAATTAAATAGATATTTATAGGTAGTTTGTTAGGTATTTTTGTCCCCTTCTAAACGTTTTTATTATTTTTTTTAATTTACAATTTAGTTTACAAAGGTTATTCCTTTTAAAAAACACGATTTTTCAATCCTACCCAATATGTCTTTTGCTAGCCTGCTTAATATTTATGTGACAGATATTTATTATTCCCTGCCTCGATTTTTCAACCTTCAATTTATGGCAAGACTTGAATGGGAGCACATTTTTCATTAAAATTAACATTTTATTTGCTTTTAAGATCGCTTAACCTATAGATGTAGCAGCATATACATATAATACAAATAATTATAGCAGTACTTATGAATGCACCAAACCTTAGTGTATCTCAACGATATCCGTATTTAAGTTATTTTATTTGCATCCGTTTTTATTGCTTTTTGAACAACTCTAGTCCTTATCATTCTCATTATTCTCTTGGTATATCCACATTTCATCTGAAAACATGTTAACATCTAGCTCTTATCTGCTTATCTTTCTCTAATTAATTCTCACGCTTTTTATTCTTGATGCTTTTCTGTTTATTTACTTCAGTTTTGTCTACTAATCCAAGTTGCAATAAACTTTTAAAGACATCTTATCATTAATCTTTTATAAACAGAGGTTCAATGACGAAAATTTTTTATTTCTCAGACAACCTAAAGTATGACTTCAACTCTTTGATTTATCGAAAAAAAAGAATCTTTTTAAAGACACTTTCAAGATATTTTGAACTCCCCTTACTGCTTGCTGCATAAATGGTTCTTTTTCATTCCGTGGAATTTCTATTTCTCTGAGCTAATTGGGTCAGTTGTTTGTAAGTGGCTGTCCTCAGACCAGATTTTTTTTATTAACCTAACACTTTTTTAAGACGAGCAAAGTATATACTTAAAAAAAAATCCAAATTAAATTTTTTTTTTTCCAGGGCTATATAATTTATTATTATATATTTGAATATAACTGTAATGTTTCAAGTACTATTTCAAAAAGAATTAATATAAAGTAAAAATCTACAATAAACATTACAATAAAAATTGCACCAGTAATATTAATTTATCTATAGTAATAATTGGAAAAATAACGGCTTCAAAAATATTAATGAATGTTATAATATGTAAAATACGTAACAATAATAATATTAATAACAATAATAAAAATTATACTGATAATAATAAAAGTGATAATAGAATTAATAAAGTAACAGTAATAATAATAACAAGCCAAAACTTATTAATCAGAAAAATAAGGAACATCTTTCTAATTAAAAACAAAAACTTGTTTTTATATTTAATGTGTTTTATGGATTTGATCATATTTTCTAAAAGAATGATTTAAAAGAATGAAGTTTCAAACAGCTCAAAGCTGCAACAACTTTTTTAGAAAATAAAAAAGTGTGTAAATGTGCTGGGTAGACTTTTTATTTATGATTTGTAAATGAGCTGGGTATACTTTTTTATGGCTCAAGACATATAGACAGTTTAGTAGCTGACCAAGATCATTTAGTTTAGTTTTTTTGATAAAAAGTAAAGATTATAAGGGTTCACTGTTGTACAAAAATAAAAAAGTGCTCGATGTTGTGACCCTAGGAAATCCTTTAGTGGGATACTATTGGTAGTCAAAGTTCATAATTGAAATTTTGAAGCAGCTTAATAATTTCAAATGTTGCTTGAAGAAGAAAAATTTTAAACTTAACTAATGCTTTTTGATTTTTAAACTATAAAAGATCACCTTGTTACAAGCAGGGCCGTCCCGGGAGGGAGGGAGGTAGCATATCGTGGTGTCTAACCCCTAACTAAAATAATTTTAAAAAGTTAGTCGGCAAGTTTATACACTGGAGTCGGCAATATTGGATCTTTTGTTGACAGTCAGCAACTGTTAGCCAATAAATACCTTCTCTCCTCTTTTAGATCACTTCGGAAAAAAGGTTTTGATTACAATAGATTGCAGTTGGCATAACAAGCCACAAATCTCTACATCTGGCCTTATCATCCCAAAAAATTGAGGCAATTCAAAACAGAGTTGAACAAAGATGTTCGCAACGCTTTTCAAAAGTTAACAAGAGCAATCTACGCAACAGCTCAATTTCTAACCTGCAAAAAAATATATCAAAAGCCATGTGAAAAGATTCTGTAGCAATTGAGAAAGTTGCAGCATCAGCCATTGCCAAGAAGGAAGCATCGTCTCATCAAACGGATTGTCTAAGTAGATCTGACAACTAAAACACAGCTGATAGCTAACCACAACTAAAGGACAACTAAAACACAACTGATAGCTAGAGATCATGCTTAGCTCTACACAGGGCTGTCAATCTGTTTTGTGAAAAAGTTAGTATCAACTCTTAACCATGTTGTTTCAAATCGAATTGTTAAAAAAAGTTTCTACTCCGAGTTTAATCACTTAAGCAAAAAATCTGAAAGCCTAAACATGTTGTCCAATCCAAAGACTTACAATTGACTAAGAAAGTTCAATGGTACTATCAAAGTTTTCATGGCAATGTCCTTCATAACAGATATGCTGATAAATTTGAGCAGTTCTGGGTCTCCCATTACAACTACTGAGCACTACCATCACTCCAAAAGTTAATGTTATCATCCATCATATTTCACAGTTCACCTAAAGCCACAATAACTCTTTGGTAAATTATTCAGAGCAAGTAACAGGAGCACTCCGTTATCTTTTTAGTTCCGACTAGATTAAATACAAGAGACCGAGCAACAAGCCCGAGTATGAAGACAAGCTGTCTAGAAGCGTCACAGAATTCAACACCAAAAAACTTGATTAGGAACATTTAAATCATTTTACTAGATTCTATAGTTTTTTAAAAAAAAGAATTGGATTTGTAAAAGTGTTCTTGTGTTCAAACTTTTAATTTACTACTTAAGCATTACTCCGTTTTTTTATATGTTTATCATCTATTTATTTTTTACAACTTAATAATAATAATAAAAACTTTAATATAAAAAAAATTTCATAAAACTTAAGCGGTTTTTTTTTTTTTTACGAACCCTTGACAATGCAAAGAATGAATTGCTCTAAACCATCCTTAAGTTGTTGATACTGTCGCACTTACCGTCTACCATAGAGAAGAACTTTGGCACCAAGAGGATGAACTGAATGTTGGACTTACAATTCCGGAACACTACATGCCACAATAGAGTATTTATTTTTTAAAACTTTAAAATTAAAGTTTTTTTTTACAGCGACGGTTAGAATTGATAAAAATATGTCCATCGACCCAGTGGCCATGCGTCGTTCGGAGGACGTTCGCTGGACGTCTATGAGACGTACAGCGGATGCGTGCCCACTGGGAAGTTGTTCACTATTTTAGGATTATGACAGCGACGACCTTTTAGTGGGAGTTATGCGTTTTTAAATTCTTGTTCGATTGCTACTCAGCAAAAACCAAAAGAAAAAACTAGAATTCTAACATGCAGCTTACAACAAAGCTTTTTGATATAACGCACGCCAAAACTAAATTAACTTTATGCATTAAACTTAAATTATCCTTTAAGTTAGAAATCATTCTGGGAAATGCAATTGTATTATAAAAACATTTTTAAGAACACAGCACTCTTTTTTAATAAATAGAACTTAATCAAAGCATATAATTTTATGACCTGTATAACTACTTATATGTGTGTGTGCATGTTATTTTTATAAGTTACTTTTTGTTTATAACTTTTTAGATGTTTTAAGTTGATGTAAATTGACATTAAAACTGTGTAATTAACACTAAAAAGCTATGCAGCATAAAATATACTAAATTGTTGTGATTTAACATCGTTTCTGTATTTTTCATGCTGTACAATTTTTTCGAGTAATTCAACACCTTTTTAATTTAGAGTTTAAGTTCATAAAATTTTAATAACATACCAAATTTTTAGACTTCATCCATTTGAAACTTTTTATTCCACCATTTGTTTAAATAATGGATTAAATGTGTATCACTCAAAAGTCTAGATTAAGACGAACCCTAAGTTGGCAACTTTGTCTAAAAAAAAAATGTCATGCTCAAAATACATTTGTGCTTCACAACTTCGCGTACACACATAAAACTAGCACGCATAACGGCACATATTTTAAATATGAAATATAATGTATAATATGAAATGAACATAAAATATATAAAATTTACTGTTTTTAGTTTTACTTTGCAAAACACACGATAAGCTTATTAACTTGTTTAACTTGCCATTTAAAACAGAATTAGAATGTTGACAAAAAGAATTAAAATTCTAAATGATAAAAACGTTGAAATTCAACAAAAAATAAAAATAAAACAATAATTATAATTAATTTATAACGCCATCGTTAGTAAAATACTAAAATAATGTTTTGAATAAACTAAACTATCAATGCCACATTATTTATTTATTTCGGTATTTTAACTTATTTTCTCTTCTTTTTTTTTAATAGTTATATGCAATTTGTTTTTAAAGTTAAAATTAAAATTATCTTGAATTATCTGGCCGGAGGAAGAAGTAAAAGAAAAACTTGTCTTACCGTTACACTGGTGGATTTTTAATTTAAAAAAAAAGTTTTTTAATACATAATAAATGATAAGTTTATAAAAATGCAGACAAAACCTTAGCAATATAAGTAGGGGATAGTGGAGCACCGTGATACATGGGACACCATGAAACATTGTAATTGTGGAGGTATCTTAACAGTTGTGATGCCCCGTTTCATAAAGTGAAAGAGTTACTAATAGAGCTATAGTTTGAAAAATAAGTTATATCATTTGACATCATTAGGCATGCTAGGGGTCGAAACTTGTGCTTTTTTGATGACAAAGTCATTTATTAGTTTTGAAAGCTTATAAGTTTTAAAGTGTCTTATTCGATGTGTTTATCAAGAAGTGACATTATTCTTTAAACTACAATCCATAAGCTTTTTCATTCATTAAATAAAATTTTTGAAAAAACAAGTTGATATTAAAAGTAAAACGATTGTTTTCTATTAGCAAGTATGGGGTAACTTGACACAGCATTTGTGGGGGGCCGTAAAACTATAGAATAGTACTCCATTGTATCATAAATAATTTTTAAAATCATTTCTTTTAATATTTGTTGTTAATTTTAAAAAGTCTCATTTCGATACGAAATTTTAAAAAATCCCATTTCGATACGAAGCCATTAGTTCTTGACGCTTGAGAATGACATTTAAAACGATATCTTCTCTTCTGAAATGTGATTAGGACCAATGGGTGCATTATTTGGGTTATAATTATTAATTTGTTTATATCTCAAATAAAAATCTGCCTTTATTCTATGTTTTATACTTTTTATTTACTTTTTTAATGATGTTCGTAGTTTGTATCGAGGTACACCATGGGTGAGGTACCTTGAAACAAATTTCTAATTTTACTTTAACTTGGCTCACAAGTTTAACCTGTTATATTTTGGTAATTTATAGATTTTTTTTTGGGTATATATTCATTCCACAAATTAAACCAATCACTTAAAAAAAAAGTGTATTGAATATTTTTTACAAAGAAAAAACCAATAGTATGTGATGGTACCCCACTTCCTCCTAATACTTTACCAAATATGTAACTAAATTAGTTTAAAAACAAAAATAAAACAAAAAAGAGATAACAATAAAAGTTATATACCGATAAAATTGAATTAACAATATTATAAATAACGAACTGTAAATAACTTATAAAAACTATTCTTAAGTGTAGGCTCCTAACTTATTTCTAACTTATTCAGGGCCATTCCGAGGGGAGGGGGGTGTCTAGCCCCCCTACGAATTTTTTCAGTCGGCAAATTGGAACTGGAGTCGGCAAAATTGGATCTATAGCTGGCAGTCGGCAAATATCGGAAAAAGAAGACTTTTTTTTTTTTTTTTTTTTTTTTTAGCGATCAAAAAAGATTTTTTTGGCTACAGTCGGCAAAAAACAGACACATCACCTCCTCCTTTAAAATCTCTTCGGGACGGCCCTGAACTTATTCCATAGTTTGTAAAACCTATTCTTAAATGTATGTTTCTAAACAAATAAACTTTAGAAGTAAAAATAAAAGAAATGATTTTAAATAATTTATTTACTTATATTTTTTAAAATATTTTTAAAAAAGGTATTTGAAACTTTGATTCAGACCTAAAATTCTCCAAAGTGCACCTTTTAACTTCCTACTTTTAAACAAAAATGTTTATTTAAAATAATTTTTTTTTTTAAATTAGGTCCACGACATTGAATTCGATAAAAATATTTAAGATTATGGGAACGGCAAAATTGTACAAGAATTTGCACAATACCTATGTGCAAACAGCACACAAGCTGATAGAAGAGTCTTCCAAATTTAAAAAACAACTGTTGATGATTCTGTGGTTATTAATTAGGAAGCCCAGATGTCCGGATTTTTTAGAGTTAGTTCCCCTACCTTTTTCTAAAGGACTTATTTTTTTTCTAGAAATTTTAAGGTATAGGAATTTTCTTTGGAAACTGACAATTTTGACCCCTCCATCCCTTCGAAACCCGTGTTGTTGGCCCTGCATTTTATTTATTTAACAAAAGCCGAGTAATCAAATTGTAATGGAAAAATTAATAAAAATCATTGATAAAATTGCTTTTTCATCCAAAAACAAACTCTTCTATCAGCTTGTGTGCTGTTTGCACATAGGTATTGTGCAAATTCTTGTACAATTTTGCCGTTCCCATAATCTTTAATATTTTTATCGAATTCAATGTCGTGGACCTAATTTAAAAAAAAAAAACATTTATAGAAAAATAAAACTTATAAAATGTTGCAACAAAGTCAATTTTTTTTGTAATTAAATTACGTTATAAATAAGACTATATCTAAATATCTATATAAATATAAACAACTTATGTCTAATATTTGATTATATAGGTCAGTATAATAAACTCCATAAGCAAGTTAACATCATAATAATAAAATCTATGGATAATTAAACATTACTCGGCAAGATGTACCTTTTTAAATGATATCTGACATTGTTTGTTTTTTTTTTAATTTTGAGTTCCATTCAGAAGTACGTTTGCCAAACACATAAAAAGATTTTTTGATGATAAATTAAAATCATAATATGTGTCTATTATAGACAGAATGTTTATAATTCTTTTTTTATAACATGCTCCTTGTTTGAATTTTTTTTTACAAATCATAACCCAATTATAATTAGCTGATAAATACCAGGGCTTTTGAGAGGGAAAGGCAAAGCAGGCAAACTGACCTGGACACCAAGCTTGAAGGGGCGCCGAACGATTCGTTAGTTTTTGTTTCTTTTTACAATAAATAAAACATTATAATGATTGACAATGTGAAATCTGCTTAGCTTTTGTATTTGAGATTGAGTATTAAGAGAACGTTTTGTCAATTTCACTATAAAAGCGCTACTTTTCAACTAGGATTTGACTGTTAAAGCAAAAGAGAGAATCATAGCGTCGCATTTTTTAGACAAATAAGCCGCCTTTCCTTTACAAGGTCTCGTCCAGTTATCAAATATTTGAGTCTTTGCATCTTTGCTGCACTCAATGTGTAATTTACTGCACTCTAAATGTGTGATTTGAAGGACTATAGATTAGGGTGATTCTAAAAACAACTTTTTTTTAAATTGTCTGCTACCACCCCCTAAATGTGTTCTATGTAATAAATTAATACTAAATAAAAAAAAATTTTGATTAAAAATAAATTTTAGGGGTTGCTCAAGACCCTTAAATTTCCCTAATATTTTGAAAAAAAAAGTTTTTCAAAAGCATATCATGTTGGGCCTAAAAAGAAGTGAAATTTTATAAAGATTTAAAAAATAATAAAAAAAAATTTATGGGAACACAAATTAAAAAAGTTTATTTAAAAAAACTATGAAAATGAAAACTATGAAAATTGGTGCGGCCGTGGCGTAGTGGGTAGAGCTCTTGCTTTATAAGCAGGAGATTTATAACCAGGTTCGAAACGAGTTCTGGACATATTTTCGCGTCACGTTAAGGAAGGAGGCGTGAACTTCCTGGTTAAATGCACTTCCGCGGTGCTCTGTGACAAGACCTTTAGGTCTTCTTGGGGCACCTAAATAAAAATTTAAAAAAAAAAAAAAAAATGTACTTTTTTTATTTTTTGTTAAAAGATGATAGTAAAGCCATAAAATTTAAACTAGTAATCTAGATACAAAATAATTATTATTTTTGAAATTTTTATAAAATTTTACTTCTTTTGAGACCTAACATGATATGTTTTAAAGAACTTTTTTTTTATTCAAAATATTGGGATGTGTTGTTACACTTTTTTTTTTTTTTTTGGGTTCTTTCCTTGAATATTCAATAAGTTTATATAATAAAATAGTTAAGATAAAAATCGTTATACAATAAAAGAAGTATTTCAAAATATACAGGTATAAAAATAAAAACAAAACAAAAAAAGAACGCGGAGACTCGCAGAAGACCTTCAGGTCTTATTATCGCTCGTGAATATTAAATTAACATGGATTATCAAATAAAAAACAAAACAATGTCGTAGTAGGGGAGATGGGGGCGCATTGTTCGCCGGGGCAGTTTTATCTTTTAGCTTTTACTCGTTTACTTTTGCCTTAATTTAACAGAGATTGCAATTTAATTAACCATTTTACTATCCTTCATTGTTTAATCGTAATAATTTTTGATAAGATCAACTTCAGCGTTAAGAAAATTGAAAATACAGTTTTCCATCATGAAAAGTGATTTATGAAACTTGTAAACAAATTCAAATAAATTTTTAATTAGATTTCCGTATGACTTTACAACCAATTGATAGTAAACTCATATGTGTTAAGTTTATAATAAATTTGTTTTTTTGAGTTGGTTACTGTATTTATAGAAGTTATTGGCATCAATATATCAACTGTACCTGATGGGGCACATTGATCGTTGACTATGCGGGGCTCATTGATCGGAGGTATCGAGTTTATTGGTTACCACAATCCCGTCATTGCATTCTACTCGGAAAATGTAAGACGCCAATCAACATAAGGCTTCAGAAAAAGTGTTCTTGCTTTTCTTTATCGTTCCAAAATGAGTTCATCAGAGATTATAGTGGCGTCATCCAAAGTACAGTTGTTGAAGAAATCCAGGATGGTATCTACTTCACAATCATAGTCAATGGAACCCCCAATATATCTTACACTAAGATATATTAGGAGGATTAAGTAGTCGATATAAGTAAGCTTATCACTGATATGATTTCAAGGCTAGGATATTTAAACTGTCGCTGTCAAAAATAAGAGCAAAATTA